CGAAATCTGGCGAATGTCAACATTCTCCGGTGAATGTCAACATTCACACAGTCGTTTCGTGTATGTCCGAAATATTTGCTAAATATCGTTATTTCTCACTTACACCGGCAAATGTCGACATTCAGAATGCGCTGATGGTGAATATTGAATAAAAATATTTTTATTATGTTAAGACAAAAATGCAACTTTTTAATATGTCAAAATAGGAGAAAGCTTAAGTAATAGTACATGTAAATAAACTGTTGAACCTAAAACGAACAGTACATTCTATATCATTAAAGAAAATAATACAATAATAAACTTACACATAAATTATGTGATTAACATTATACAATCTTATTTATTGTAACAACTTAAACTGTTATGGCACCTTGAATTGCACAAGAGTCCTTACTTTTACAACTGCATTTATTCGTGGAACACTTCTTTTTGCAATGACAGCGTGTATAGTCTTGTCCTCCATTTTTCCAAATAGCTGCAGCTGCTTCTCTCAGCGATATTTCAAGAAGAAATCTCATCTATGGAAAGTAACTTTTCTTTACATATTACGAACTGATTACGGGTATAAAGCTGTTTGAGGTTACTATTTTTGTTTGCTAATTTATAAAAGTCAGAGTCTTCTATTCCAACAACAACCGCCAACACATTTTGGGCATCTGTACGGCCACTGTCGACATCAGGGACTTGTATTAGTACGGTATCATCAATTTGAGCAGAAGGAAATGTAGAAGAATTTGGCGACAGACTATGGCCTCTCTGTCGACATCGGCTTCTCGGGTGTGTCATTTCTACCTCCACCAAAACTTATCTGTGTTTGTCGACATATGCTGGTGATTGTTCGAATGTATAATAATTTAACTAAATATTCGGTCTTTCACCGACGTATTTTGTATGTGTCGACATTCACTGGAGAATATCGACATTCACTAATTTCGGTCTTTCACAGTAACATATACACAAATTAATAATCTCAAATTTAAGAATACAAGTTCTTGAATATTGATTTATACTGATATCTCAAATTAAGCAGATTACGTTTTGATTTATGAAATATTAATTGAATAAAAAATATTACAGATAGAGCTGATATGAATACAATTTAGTATCAATGCACACTTAAATTTATGTTACAATTGCTGTCTGATGTTGATAGTATGATTATGTTAAAAATTAATGAAAACAAAAGTTTTCATTAATTTTTAACATAAATTTTTAACAATAATTTTTAACATAAAACAAAAATGTTTTAGTAATAATATAATCAATTAAACACAAATATTCATCAGCATTAATATATTTGAAGATATATAATTTTGTAATTATATTTTTATTGCATTTTTATACAATAAAAATATAATACAGCAAGGTCTTGTTTTATGTAAGATTGATGCACGTGGTTTCATAGATGAAAAATGGTCACAATAACCTTTAGATGTATATTAATAATTCTGATTATCAATGCACATGTTGATTATTTTTTTTATTATGAAATTCACTGTGGAACAGAAACAATGGTATGAAAATTAGAAGCAATTTTCTGCAGCTTACTTCTGAGAAAAAAATTATTGAGATGAAATGAAAATAGAACATTCTAATGTTGACACAAATAAAGAGAAAAAAATTGTATGTGTACTAAAATATGAGTTGCATAAAACTAAAATTTTTGACATAAAACTGAAACCACAACAGGAGGATGGCATGAAACACATTAAAAACAGAAAAACATTACAATTAAAAAGCAATGACGTATCAAGGCAGTCTAAGAATACTTGGAGGGGAGGGAGCACAAGTTTGTGAAATATCATTTTATATGATACCTACTGACACACAATCACCATGTAAAATAAGACTGTACTGTATATTATTGAAATGTTTTGTTTAATACTTAAACAAGAATTTATTTTTAGCAATTACTAGCTGAACGAGAGCAGCGTATTCAACAAATTGAAGCTGACATGTTAGATATAAATTCAGTTTTTCGGGATCTTGCTGCTTTAGTTCATGAACAAGGAGCTACAATAGGTGAGAATTTTTTAACATTTTAGTATTATAATGTTTTTAAGTTGTTCTACTCAAAATTATTTACAGTTGTAGAAAAATACCAATTTTCAGCAAAACATTATGCAATTCACTTCAGATATGAAAATCTAGACTGACAACATCACATTGGCTGTACATTAGCAGACATCTAAGTTAATTTACATGAAAAACAGTTCATAATTTTCCAAAAACATTATTACTATTATTGTGTTATTACTCTTTTAATACAGCTATAAGTTTTAATATTAACAATAAACTTGAAAATAAGCATAGTGAGCAATTATATAAATTTTAGAAAAGTATTTGCAATACTAAAATCAAGTCTGTGATTTCAAAGATTCATGTAAAAGGAAGTTTTCCATTAATTACTGAAGTTCAGTCATATAAACCAATCAAACTATTATTCAAGGAATCAACATATTTACTGTTCCAAAAGATGTAATTAAAAAAATATTGCCTCATTGTGTTACCTCTACAGAATTTCTCACACAAACAGTATATACCTTTCCTTCTGCATCATGGCTTTTCATATTTCAAGCATATGCTTTATCATCATGTAAAAACAAAAATTATAATCAAATTTTCACTATAGATTATCAAAACTAATAATTTGCTGCTATATATGTGGGTCAAGTCATTTAGTTTTGCAGCAAAAGTATGCATTTGTTACCTAGGAAGAAACTGAGATTAAATTATAGTTGTAGATTATGGCAAACTCTTCTTAGCTTGACCATTGTTCAGTCAACTGACCAAGTGATAAATCCATTGCAAGAGAACATTCTGGAATGCTTCATTGGGGATATATGCTGGTTAATTTCTCAGTTACTGAAGATAAACCTAATGTTCTTGTTAAAACAGATTTATCTTCAATAAAGCTTAATTTCTATTTTTGTCGTTCTGTACAGCAGCAATAGTTATGCAAATTTTAATTATGTTGTACATGGCCTAATGAATGAAAATTATTTGAATTCTTTTTAAAATCTATGTAAGTTTGATTCTGTTGTTCATGCAATACCTTTTTAAATTTTTATATAATTGTTCATATTAATCATTATACAGTCGACCCCCCTATAAGATAGAGATACGTTCCATTCTTTAGGAATCCGATTTCTTACAAATCCTTCCAATCACAACCCGACACGTATCAAGTTTATGGACTACGGCTGTTTGAAAGATTTTCTTCCATAAAATTAATCGATTCTAGACTAATCCGACTCAACATTTCCAAAATACGTATATATTTTTTGGGAATAATCCGTATAAACTACGCTATAAACAAAAAATTGTAGGATTACTTACCGAGTGTCACCATTCGACATTGCCATTGCTCAACATTGTTTTCGTCGCGGAACAGCTCAGCAAAGAGCGGCCGATTTCTAACAACTTATTTTTCTGTGAAAACTTCGTAGAACTTCGGAGACATCATTAATATAAATAATTTTAATCGCCGTTGAATAAGAAATGTTTCTTTCACAAGAAATGTATAAAATTACAGTACTGTATTAGACTTACGGTACCTAATTTACATACTGACAGACGATAGTTAGCGTAAAAATCTCCGTAGCGTGGCGCCACGCTAGACGGCGGAAATTATATATTTAATTATAACAAAGTTACAATAAGTTAATATATAATTATATATACAGTACCTAATTTATATATAATTAATATATAATTATATGTACAGTACCTAATTTATATATAATTTATATAATACTGTCCAGACGATAGAAATCTCTCCGTAGCGTGGTGCTACGGACGGCGGGAAAGTAGTTCAGCTGCCTGATGACGTTTGAGGTGTTTATAGGGAACTTTTACTATTTTTTACGGATACCGGTAGCAATTTTTTCGTAGTTTTATAGGAATCGTAATTATAGGGACCGTAATTATAGGGGGGTCGACTGTATATATATATATATATGTATATAACATATTTTATCATTTAAAAACTGAAATATTTAATGTTATATATAATGATAAAATAAGTGAGTAAAGAATATTATGTATACTTAAATATACAGTGGTACCTCGGTATACGTCTGGTTTAGAATATGTCCAATTTGGAATATGTCCTGTTTGGAGAAAAATTTTGCTCGGTATACGACTTTTGTTCGGTATATGACTTAATTCAATTATATGCACCATGTATGATCAAGTAGCACTATCAGTGTACTAGACCAGACTAGACGTTCATGGTGCCGTGGTTTATAACTTTGTTAAATTTCTTCTGATTTTAAATTTTAAGTAAAATTTTATTATTTTTATTAATCATGAATTGGAAAAAGGCAAGTGAAAAGCAACAGAAAACTAAAAAAATGACTAGAATCACAATGGAACTGAAAAAAAGAGATTGTTGAGAAATATGAAGGTGGCATGCATGTTTGAGATTTAACTGTTGCATACTGTATCCCAAGAACGACGATATCAACAATTGTGAAAAATAAAGACATTATTAAATCTGCTATTGTTGTGAAAGGAGTTAAATCAATTTCTAAACAGAGATTGAAAACATTAGATTATGTTGGATAATTGGTTTTGCTTTGGATAACTGAAAAACAGTGTGCTGGCGACATTGTATCGGAAGCAATTATTTGCGAGAAAGCTAAAACAATACATGCTGATCTCATGAAAAATCAAGCTGGAACTAGCCAGGAAAGTGAGGTGTTTAAAGCCAGCCATTTTTTTTACATGAGAATGGATTAATCATTTTTACATTACTTCTTATGGGAAAGGTTGGTTTGGTATATGTTCTAGTCGGTATAAGTCCAAACATCAGGAACAGATTAAGGTTGTATACCGAGGTTTCACTGTACTTACAATGTTTACTGGCATTACTAGTAGTATATACATGCAAGACTCTGATTAAATCTGTGACAGGATATTTAGGTTGTCTGACTCACAAATTTCTAATGCATTTTTTCTGATTATAAGATACTTTGACTACAGGCTTTGAAGCGATAAGACTACTTTTATTAAATTTTCTTTTTTACTCAGTAATGCATCCATAATTGGAGACATATATAAAGATATTAATTAGAGAGAATTTTCTGTGTTAAATTAACTTTCAGAAGATGCAATTTGCCAACTTCAAGATAAAGTTGATTGGGATATTATTTCAGTAATCTTTTCTTTCAGAGAGTTTTATTGAAAAATTTCAAGATAGATTAAATTGGGAAAGAATTTGGAGAATTAAACCATATACTGAATACTACGATTAAAATATCTTCTCATATAGATTGGATCATAGTAAATACCAAAGATTACCCATTGATTTTATGTATGAATTTAATAAATATATACACTGGGATTATATTGTTAAATATTGAACACTAAATGATCAATTTATTGGATTGTATAGACATAAATTAAATATGCAAACAGTTTGCAAATATCAGAAGTTAGAAGAATCAACAATGAGGTTTTTAGAAAATGATTTGGATTGAAAAACTGTTTTGAAATAGTTTTTCAATCCAACATAAAATCAAATGAAAAAAATAAAATCAATTCGCAAATCACACCTAAATTCTAAAATTTCCAGCAAATAAAAGTAAAAGACACATATTGAACGTTTTCGGCCATTTATAGAACGGTTTTTCCAGTTGATAGTTCCTGAGGAAGGCCGATAAATTTAGTGGCCAAAAACGTTCGATATGTGTTTTTGACTTTTATTTGCTGGAAATTTTTGAATTTAGGTATGATTTGCAAATATTACAGTTTATGGTGAGGTTGTATTTAATAAAATCAATAAAATTAATAGATTGGATCATAGTAAATACTAAAACTTATCCATCTGAGAAGATATTTTGGTTTATTTCTCCAAATTTTTTCCCAATTTAATCTATCTTGAAATTCTTTAATAAAGATATAAACATCTAACAAAACCTGATGCTTAGAAAATAGACACCCATGATTGCCATAAATAATTGGGCTATAATTTGGAAATAATTCTTCATTAAAACTCTTTGAAAGAAAAGATCTATTTGAAATAATATGTTATATCCCAATCAACTTTATCTTGAAGTTGGCAAATTGCATCTTCTAAAAGTTTATTTAACACAGAAAATTCTCTCCAGTTAATATCTTAACTCATTAATGCGTCTATAATTGGAGACATATGTAAAGAAGAAAATTTAATAAAAGTAGTCATATTGCTTCAAAGTCTGTAGTCAAAATGACAATTTTTATTAAACTTTCTTCTTTATTTTATATATATAATCTTATGAATTTCTAATGCAACATTTTTCTCTGATTTTGAGTCAGTCAACCCAAATATAGTGTCAGAGATTTAATTCATAGTCTCTCATGTAATATACTACTATTACTGTATTAAAAAATATTTTTACATTTAAGCTTTTTTTTGTTTGTTTTTTGAATTGTAAATTTCCCAAGGAAAGTTAATTAAGATTGAAAATGTTCAAGAATGCTTTTTATATTTGTATTGATATATTTTTTCATATGTCCTGATTACAAAAATAATAGCCAATATTATTAAAAACTTGCATGCCTATATTATATATAAAGTATTTACAATTCATTGATGAAAAAGCATCATAAATTCATCAAAAGAAATTTAATATCCTAGCTAAAACATTAAATCCATTACAAAATATATTTTTATTGTCAATAATCATTATCCTATTAATTACAGTTTTAATTTTCTTATTACCAGTAATAGCTCTCAAAACTAAGCAGGAAATTTAATGAGGCATTCTTGCTCTCAGATAGTTTCAATTGTTAAAAATGAGGAACATTGGTGCTCATTATACACCAGTCAATAACAATTAATCTGATGCTAATATGTTATCAGATTGATTTAAAAAATTATGCTTTAATATGTTTTAGAATAATATTTGATTCTGATATTTCTAAATATGTCAGAAGAAAACAGATATAAGGTTATTAATAAAATGAAATTAAAGGTCTTTCAAATTTTAAGTAAATTATTCAAAAAACATATTTTATAACTGAAAGCTTGATAATCTGAAACATTTAGTTGCTGAGGCATTAACCATAATTTTTTTTATCTTAGGAAATGAAAAAACATTGCAAAGTAAACATTTAACTATAGGATCCATCTTACTAAGATGAGAGAGGAAAATAAATGTTTGTTTCTCATGTTGAATTAGGCTTTGAATGCAAATGATTTAAATGTTAAAATACAAACAGGGACAAGTTATTTATGACTTAATGCATACACATTAGAAAGAAAAAATTCAAAACTATTGGAGAAGTCATAACTGTAAAATAGATTAAGTGTTTTTTGGATTTTACAATCCTGAAAAGTGCTTAATCTATTGAATAGTTTTGAGGTTTTTCTTTCTAATGTTAACTGAAATTAAAAAAAATAAAAATTATTTAAAATGTGTTCATTTTATACAGAAAAATAAATTGTAAAAGTTTTTTTTAATCATCAAATTAATGTGCATAGGATTAAGCTCTAAATGATAATAGTAAAAAACAAAAGCTAAATGTACTCTTAAGTTTACTAGTTCAAGTTACACTTACAAGTTACAAGTGAACATGCTTGATAATTATCTTTTATTATAGAATTATATGAAAGAATAAATTGGGTATATCTTCCATTTTTTGTTGGTTGAAAGTTTTATACTATATAAAAGTATTCTAAGACTTAATTTTATTTATTAGTATTCTGTTACACAAAAAATAAACTTATAATCACATTATAAAAACAAATATTTTAGTTTTTATGAATTATAAAACTGATATAATTATTATATTTCTAATTTTATGATTATATTTTCTTATATTTATACTAGATACTATTGAAAGTAATGTTGAAGCAGTTGCAGAAAATACAGCCAGAGGTACAGAACATTTATCCAAAGCTAGTAGATATCAGGTAAAATGCTATAAAGTTTCACAGTATAATTTTCATAACTATGGTATAATGAATTATTTGTTGTTTTACAATAATCATTCATTTCAAATACAGTGTACAATTTTCAGCTAATTTCAAGCAAGAATACAGTTAATGTTTTTTTTTTTTATTACAGAGACTAACAAACTATTCTCCTTTGAATACAAAGTAGAATGTTAGATTAAAATAGAATACTGTATATGTATTAAATATATAATGCTAGAAGTGCTTTAAAGTTAGAATGGTGTAGAAAGAGAAAAGGTTTGAGATGGACAAAGTTTCAATTTACCTATACTTTAATGAAATGTTTTATATTAATGTGGGTGTACATGTAAGCCTGTGGGCAATTAACTGATCAATGATGCACAAATTCAAATTTGCTAATAACTAGTTTTTGTAATTTTGCAAGATATATTATTTTTCCACTAAGCCACTCAATACTGTTTGACTTGGCTGCCCTTTACCAGTATTTTTTGATATCATAAAATGCAAAAGATCCTTTTCAGGACCAATCTGACAGTGGAATGGGATCTTAACTCTTCACTTTCAGAAGAGTTGCTTGGTGACATATTAATTATAAGTTGTTCCACATTTTCCATTCAGCTAGTGAATTTCCTTTAGTCTTCCATAATTCCATAATTTTTTCTAAGCAATGAAATGCTTCTATTCAATTTTCTTTAGTTATTGATGCAAAATCATTGTCCACTAACTTTTATACATCCTCTAATTTGAACACAGTTATGTCAAGCAATTTATGCTTTTAACTGAGCTCAAATTTAATCCCATTGAATTAATATATGATGATGGGGAAACAAGCAAATACCTGTGTGATCTTTGGATGCAGCCTCTTCAATCTCTTAGCATACCCCAGAGTTTTTATGCATCTTAATTATTTCATAAAGCTCAGCTCTGTATGGTTGATTAGGAAATGAAAGACAGTAATTCATCATAATATTTCATTTCTTGTTTTTGTCTATTGCTGGATGGAGGTCTTTCCAGTTGATGACTGTGATATGGAGAATTGTCTGTAAAAATATGTGATTTTTCTGGAATGTTGGGAATAACTTGATTCTTAAACCATTTCAGAAATTCATCCTCATCCATTTCTTCGTGATAGTCTGGATCATTGCTTTTGGAAATAGGAATAAGACCATTTTCAACATCCAACATGTTTTCATTTCCTGCATGAAGAATTAGCAATCATCTGCCTTTTCTGATCAGAACTTTCAAATTAGTTGCACTGTCTTGACAGCATTTTGATATAACATTCACAAATATATAAAGAACTGGTATTTATCTGCAGTTTGAACTGTTTGCAAAAATTTAATTCTGGATGCAACTTATGTCATTTCTTTCCATAATTGCATCATGCCAGTTAACTTTGTGAATAAGCTTGGATTTCGTAATTGTAATCTTCTTTAATGATTTAATGCTGATTTAATAGATGATGTAAGGTTGGAATTTTGACTATACAGTACAAGCTATGAATATGTTGATGATAAATTAAAATCGTCCACAGAATTGTCTAGAGTGTGTTAACACCATTCAGTTGTTGCTGATCCTTGTCCAATGCTGTCTGTCCCCATTAGCTTCTCAGCTGACACATTGTCATGCTGCAGTCAGCCTTGATTTGTGTCCAGGCAGTGTGTTCTCTGTCCTGCTCTTTGTCATGAGCTGATATATCATAGCATGATATCCTTTTCTAGTCCATTTGCATGCATAATGAGCCAAAGTTTTTGCTTAGTGATCTTGGCCTCTAATGACATTTCTGATTTGACATTATCAAGAACTGTCTGGTTTGTGATCTTAGCTGTCCAGGAGATGGACAGCTAAGATCACAAACCAGCACTTTTTTTCCAGCACTATAGCTCAAAGGCATTTATTTTCTTCCTATCAGCTTTTTTAACAATCCAGCTCTCACATCCATACATCATTATAGAGAAAACAATTACATTTACAAGTCAGTATTGCTAAAAATGAAGAGGTGCTAGAAGAGTAAAGATACAGTTGACCCCCCCTATAAGATCATAGATACGTTCCATTTTTTAGGAATCCGATTTCTTACGAGTTGTTCCAATCTCAGCCCGACACGTGTAAAGTTTACGGACTATGGCTGATTGAAAGGTTTTCTTCCATAAAATTAATCGATTCTAGACTAATCCAACTCAACATTTCCAAAATACGTATATATTTTTTGGAAATAATCCGTATAAACTACGCTATAAACAAAAAATTGTAGGATTACTTACCGAGTATGCACCATTCGACAACCCCATTGCTAAAGCTTGTTTTCGTCGCGAAGCAGCACACCAAACCACGGCCGATTTCTGATAACTTATTTTTCTGCGAAAACTTCGTTGAACTTCGGAGACATCATTAATATAAATAATTTTAAT